TATTGAGTCACACTAGAATAAGTCCATAGAATCAATGCAACTTACAAGAAGTTGATTCACCAAATCCCCATTGATTCAATGGGCCTATTCTAGTGCAACATACTACTTTACACTGCAGGATTTAAGCTGTTCAAATACTTGTAAGATCCTCTTTGTTTTCCATTGACCTCTTGTTATTGCTCAATTTTAAAAGACCCTGATAGATGTGCAGTTCTCTCTATGTCATGATCTCACATGCTCACTGAAAAACATTGCTATCCTGTGTTGGGTTAATTAACTTTCTATGCTCTGTTCTTACAGCATAGTGGTTTTTTTCTCCATGACTTTCAGTGGAATTTACTGCCAGCCATGCATACTTGGCTTAATTGCAATAAAGACTGTTAAGTAAGAATGCTACAATATTGAAAAGTGGGCTACAATAAGTCAGTCTCCCCAAACCTCTCCTGGTCATGCTTATTTAAGGGAACAATATGCTATGGGGGAAACCTGATTGGCAATGACTTGCTTTACAATCCCTCTCTCTTACAACCTTTAAAACATTAGCTAATGTCTCTTCCTACCATTAAAAACTAACTTTCATGATCACTATGACTGACATTATAAACAGGTGCATTTACGTCACCATGCAGGAGAGCAAGACAGTCAAAGTGGGAGAGAGCAGAGATGGGCAGGAGAACCCAGCATGCAGGTAAGCAAGCAAACAAGGTCAGTAACAAGAAAGACGGCAACAGAGGTGTGCCAAGCAGTCAACCTATGAGGATGAAATAGAGGAAGAGAAGACAAAATACTGTATGTTAGAAGACAGCTCCCAGAAAGAATGGAGACATCACAGAGAAGTGAGAAAGGGTAAGATACTTGTGGCACAGTGGTTAAAACGCTGTACTGCAGCTAAAACTGTGCTCACGACCTGGGGTTCAAATCCCAGGTAGCCGGCTCAAGGTTGACTCAGCCTTCCATCCTTCCGAGGTCGGTAAAATGAGTACTCAGCTTGCTGGGGGGGGGCAATGTGTAGCCTGTATAATTAAAATTGTAAACCGCCCGGAGAGTGCTTGTAGCGCTATGGGGCGGTATATAACTCCAATAAATAAATAAATAAATAAATTAGTGCAAGAATGCCTAGCAAGCCACCCTTGTGATTGGAGATAGGGAGGTGAAAAGAAATGACAGCAAGAGGCTGGAGGGGAACTAAATAGTAACTCAGCCAGCTGGCCACCAATGAAGACAGCAGAGGTTTTGTTTATATTTTGTTTTAAATAATTCCAGGAATTAAAACCCATTTTAATATTGAGTCTAAAGGGAAAACAGAGCTTGATTTAGAACAGCTTGTTTTACAGCCATCATGATGGAACCATTCACATTGTAAATGCAGGGGTCAAAGTTACAGCCAAAGGTATGGCTGATAAGAAGCAATATGTGAAAATTCACCTAGGTTTTTCCCATTTTAGGCCTATAACTCATAGTTCCCTTATCTCCACACTCTCACTTTACTATTCCCCCCTCCATCAACACTTCACAAACTTACCTGATTTATTATTTGGACTCATATTGGATTCTCACTTCCTTCTCAAGCTGTAGCTAGACTGTCAACACTTTATTCTTCCTCAGCAGTTACAAGTACTGTATATAAATATTCCATGACAACACTAAAGCTAAGATCGTTTTTGTTCTGTTTACAGGAAATGCACATGACACAGCACTATTAAAATAACTTTGCAAATGTACGTAATGCCAGTCTTAAAATGGATGTTAAGAAGGCCTTTTCACCCTCTTTCTCATAAGAGAAAATATGAGTACAACACAAGCTTTTGTACAAAAAGTTATAGTATCCCAAACTCTACAACTGAGAAGTATTTCTAAAGAATGAGCAGGAACTTAGTGATTGAAATTTTAAGCTATATGACCTCCTGAAAGACAAAGCACACTGTAATTGACAAGTTCAGCACAAACAATATTTGTGGACAGAACATCTACTTCTTCTATTGTTGAAACAGGAATAGCAACGCAGAAACATTTACATTGACAACACAAAGTGACGTCATTGAACACATAAGCAGGACTTCACCTGATGCCTTTGAATCTTAAGGATAGACAGGTGCCAAGCATTTGTATGTATGCCAAATGTTTGAATTCAATTTAGAGATTTTGATTTTTTACACTGTGTACACAAACAATACTATGCATTTTAAAAAGAAAACACCCAACCCACAGATTTTGCAGTGGCAGGTTAATTTCCATTTACCTTGGATTTGTGCCTGTGCTGAAAACCTAATTTTATAGGGAAAATTAAGTCCATATATAGCATATTTGCATATCGTATGGTATTTGAGAATTGCTTGGATAAGTGACTGGAAAACATTTTCCTACATGATGAAGGTAATCTATAAGGAAAAAAGATCTTTGTAACGATTTCCCTCAGACTTTGCTAGAAACTCAATCAATTTCATGTTTTCTATGTGAATGCTAAAAGCAACACGATAATGGATATAATAGTTGTATCTTACCTTTTTCATTCCGTATATATAATGAAAACAAAACAAAAATAAAAACAGAAGTATTGTGTCCCCTTAGTAAATATGTTTCAGAGTGAGCTTTTGTGGATTACAACCCATTTCCTCAGATATTTTTGTTCTTTCTTTCTCACTTGATCTTACAATTCTGTCCTATTCCCCATTCAAAATCACAAATTGTTTAACCTGTGATATACTGTATTAGAGTCTAATAATAATTAGACAATACCCATACTTGTATGTCATCCATGGATACAGGAACTTGCGTAGTTAGCTATCGGTAGGATTGCCAGACCTCAGGCTTTTGCCTTGACACTCAAGAGTTTGGAGGGCCATGTTCACACCTCTGAGTGGCCTCTCTTTGGCTCCCTGTGTGCGTGTGCTTTTCAGGGATGGGCCCTTGGCTTATGAGACTTGCTGTCAAGTTGGACATAAGTCACACCAGTGAGCTGACTTAGACTCAACTTGGTTCCCCCAAGCTACTCAGACCTGGAACCCACCCCTCCCTCCCTTTTTCTGGGGTAAAAAGCCTTGTTTTTAATAGGGACTCAGACTTGGTATAAAGGACACAAAGACTTGCCAACATCCTGCATGCTTGTGTTTTTGGACTGGAATTCTCCAGTAATTTGTTATGTAGAATTCTGGCAGCAAACACAACTCCACAGACTTACAGATTTTGTTCCCTCTTCCCTGAGAAAGAATTTTGAATTCCTTACTGCTGACATTGCTGTGTTCATACCATCGGCTGCCTTTTCTTGTCTTTCTTCTTCTGGTGCTTAACGATGAAGGAGGTCTGAAATGTTGGTCTTTGCCTTCTGTTGTTAATTTAAAAGAAGCTGCTGTGGTACTTCCTGGGAGTTGTAGTTCTTTGGAAGGTGCTTTCTCTACAGCCTAATGGGCAATGGAATGACTCCCAACACACTCCATTATCTAGGAGAGCTTGGCTCTCACTGCTTAGTCAAGATTTAACATGAAGAAATGTTTTGGGAAACTAAAAACAGAACCCCTTAACTCAAGTGTACCACATAAATGCTATTCTGGTGTTCTTTACCTTCAGAAAAAAGTACACAATAAAATAATGTGGCAAAGGGATGAAAAAAATTGTTTTGCTACCACTATGGCCTATTGCAGATCCCTCTTGTTACTTTATTAGACCCAACCTTGTGACATTACCAGCTTCAACCTTTTGAATATCAGTTTTTTTTAAATGCTTCTGATGTGAGCAGCAATCTTTGTCTCCAGGCAACCAGGCTGCGAAGCTTTTATTAACCACATTGTTTCAAGTACCACACATGAATGACCTAGATATATATGGGCAAATGTCCCAGTAAAAATATTTCTGGGCTAATAAGATTCATGATACTGTTTACTAGGCTTCAGTAAGATGCAAACACTAGTTTCTATGTCCCCTGCAGTTCTGGCTGTTCCACTGGGGAAATAGTAACTGCTCCAATACTCAAAGCAGCACATGTTCCAGCACATGCTTGTAGTTTTCTGCTCAGGATCATGCACACACTGAATAAAGTGAGAATCACACACTAGAGATGAAACAAAGCAGGCTCTCATTCTCAGCCAGAAGACAAGTTGCTTGTTACCTTATTTGTATACATCTCTTCATATATCAATATAGCCTTTGTTTCATATCTTATCTTTTTAAGGGACATGACTAGCAATTCAAATACTAGTCCAGGATTGGGGACACTGTAATTCAATCTCTACTCAGGTCAGGAAGTTCACTGAATGACCTTGAGGCAGTAATTTTTCTCACCCTGAGCTTAAGGTACCTCACATGCTTGTTGTGAAGATAATAAATGGAAGCCATGTAAGTACCCACTGTTTTGTTGGAGGTAGGGCTCAGGGTAACACGTATGTGCCGTGTGTGGGAATGAGCATTAGTACGGTAAATACTCAGATTGTTTTCCAGAACTTATTTATTTATTTATTCTATTTATATCCCATAGTATTGGTTTAATGTACCTTCTTCAACAATAAAATTCTGCCAGCTTGAGATCAGCACGTCTAAAAACCTTATAAGCAAAACGAATAACTCCCCCCCCTCGCCCTGTAAGAACTTTAATCTGAACGATAAAATTCCAGATTTCAAGGCTGTGAAATAAAACCGGGAAATGTGCTTCCCTCTCCGCATACAACTCTAATTAAAGGGTTTAATGAATGGCTTTTCAGAGACATGAACAGGCGTTTTCGGTAATTAGATGGCAGACGAAGCCAAGCTTGTCAAGCTGGAGAACCGTGAAACGCGAAGGAGAGGGGAAGCCTTCAAAGCATCGTCACAAAAAAAAAAGGTGCTTGGAGGGCAATTCATCGACGTACCAAGGATGAACTAGCGCGCCCACCTTCCCGCCCTGTCCAACCTCCTGCCCCCGCGCGCCCTCTCTTACGCACGCGCGAGGACCTCCCCTCCCCTCCCCTCCCTCGTTGTCCTCCTCCCAGTCTCCTCGTTCGCGCGCCTCTTGTTCTTGGCTGTGACGCATCCTCGTCCCGCCTACTCTCCGTTTCATGCTCCGGCCGCGGCAACGCCCCCTTTTCCTCTCCGACACACCCACTCTCCCGCCCAACGCCAACGGCCTTCGCCGCCGCTTCCTGCGGAGCATGCGCAGACCATCGTGTGGGCCCGTCCCGGCCCCTCCCCCCCTTTTCCATTCCTTTCTCTCCCTCGCGTGTCAGAAAGGGAGCCGCGTAAGCTCTGCGACTTCGGCAGCAGACGAGAGAGCGAGCGAAGAGAGGGGCGAAGGGGAGCGGCTCCGGTGGGAGGCCCCGGAGGCCAGCCCTGCTTCGCCAGCCGACCAGAAAGAGCGGGCGGGGAGGAGGAGGCGAGGCGGCGGCGGCGGTTGTAACGGCCGAAACCGACGAGGCGCGCGGAGCGGGAGCTCGTCGTTCCGTCTTTGAAGGCGACAGGTAACCGCGGCGGCAAGATGAGCATCGAGATCCCGCCGGGTCTGACGGAGCTGCTGCAAGGCTACACGGTGGAGGTGTTGAGGCACCGGCCGCCGGACCTCCTCGGCTTCGCCGCCGACTATTTCTGCCGCCTGAGGGACACCCGAGACCAGCAGCTACTGGAGGGGG